GTACTGCAATGATAATGTCAAAGGAGTAGGAAATTTGTCAAGTCCAGCCTGCAGTGATGTTAATGTAATGAGTTTATTTAATACTATCTTACGAAACCAACGTAGTCATGGGCAAAAACATCACCATTGGCCTAATGTAAAAAAGTCTTCCAAATCTAGATTTCCCTCTGGGAGCTTTGATGACTTTCTTTCTCATCTTCATCATCCGCTAGGGTTACATTACATTAGAACTATCCTTTTTTCACTGCCTGTTAATTTTCTAAAATGTTTGAGAGATTATGCACTTGACAAAGGATGCATAAATACATTTTCTCCAATATACAGACTTGTCAGTATAATTTGTGATGTAGCTCTTTTCCGTCTTTTTAAACCAGTAAGATCAGAACCTTTACATGAGGAAAAAGAGGAAATTCCTTCCTGTTTACTTTACTAATAGAGGAATTGATGCAATCAACATCAGCAACGTTCTACATCACAAGGAGGTAACATCTAAAATTCCTATTTATTTTCAAAATCAGTCTGTTCCTATTGTATCCTACAGTTACACCAAAACCATTGCACCCAAAACATTTAACTATAAACAAGCATTACAGGACCTTGATTTAGAACAATACCTAAAAAACCCTCTGACATGTGACTGTTTCCACTCGCCTTACAATTATAGCCCCTCTGGCCATGTTATTACTGGGGATCTAAACATAATTCAACATGAAAATCTCCGAAAGGTGATTTCTCATGGTCCTAAGTTTAGAGAACCCCAACTACGCCAGAGCATGGGCTAAACGAGAAGAAGTTCAACTGGACACTTCATCAGAATGGGTCAAAACAATCAGGTCTCTGATAAAACGTCGCATTCATAAGTTGAAAAACTGTGTGAATGATCGACCAAAGTCCGTTTTCAGAGACAAAGAGGCTGTGAAATGTCTATCATCTCTTCATGATAAGTATGTTGTTGTTCCTGCGGACTAAGCTTCAAATAATATTGTCTTTGTATGTAAATCGTATTACTAAGAGTGTCTTGTAAAAGAATTAGGAATAAATGAGCACTCAGGTAATCCCACATACAAAAACATATCATTTGACAAGGATGAGATTTTGGCGAATCATAAGTCCTTCATGGCTTCAATGAACATTGCATTGAACAACAAATCAGAGGACTTACCTTGTGTATTGGATACCTAAACTTCACAAAATTCCGTACAAACAACGGTACATTGCCGGCTCATCTGCATGTTCCACTAAAGAATTGTCCATTAGATTGACTAAAATTCTGTCCGCAGTGAAAGAGGGTCTTCAGAAATACTGTGAAACTGTTTACTCGCGTAGTGGTATTAACCATATGTGGATTCTTAAAAACTCTAAAGAACTTCTGGATAATTTTAAATCTTGATCTTTTTCTGAAATAAGTTCTATCAAAACTTTTGATTTTTCAACCTTGTATACTACCATTCTCCATGTGAAATTGAAAAACCGTCTAATAGAAATAATCCACAATGCTTTTCAACATAAAAATGGTAGCATACGCTATAAATTTATCACTTTGGGATACCATAAGGCATATTTTGTTAATAATGAACAAAAGGGTAAAACATGCTACACGGAGGAACAAGTGATCAGTATGCTGGAGTTTCTTATTGACAACATATTTGTTGAATTTGGAGGTAGACTTTTTCAACAAATTGTTGGCATTCCTATGGGAACTAACTGTGCGCCTCTCCTTGCCGACCTCTTCTTATTTTCATATGAATCGGAGTTTCTTCAGACACTTGTCAAAAACAAGAAGATCAAAGAAGCCAGGTTATTTAATTTCACTTTCAGATATATTGATGATGTTCTTTCCATTAACAATCCGAACTTTTCTGATTGGGTTCCATTAATATATCCACCAGAACTAGAAATTAAAGAAACAACAGACACGGCTTCCTCTGCCTCATTTTTAGCTCACCTGACCTAAAAGGTCAAGAGAGCTTTTCTCATCACTTTGCGTCCGTCGTCCTGCGTCCGTCGTCCGTCGTCCGTAAACTTTTACAAAAATCTTCTCCTCTGAAACTACTGGGCCAAATTTGACCAAACTTGGCCACAATCATCATTGGGGTATCTAGTTTAAAAAATGTGTCCGGTGACCCGGCCAACCAACCAAGATGGCCGCCATGGCTAAAAATAGAACATAGGGGTAAAATGTAGATTTTGGCTTATATCTCTGAAACCAAAGCATTTAGAGCAAATCTGATATGGGGTAAAATTGTTTATTAGGTCAAGATCTATCTGCCCTGAAATTTTCAGATGAATCGGACAACCTGTTGTTGGGTTGCTGCCCCTGAATTGGTAATTTTAAGGAAATTTTGCCGTTTTTGGTTATCATCTTGAATATTATTATAGATAGAGATAAACTGTAAACAGCAATAATGTTCAGCAAAGTAAGATTTACAAATAAGTCAACTTGACCAAAATGGTCAGTTGACCCCTTAAGGAGTTATTGCCCTTTATAGTCAATTTTTAACCATTTTTCGTAAATTTTTGTAATCTTTTACAAAAATCTTCTCCTCTGAAACTACTAAGACAAATTTAACCAAACTTGTCCACAATCATCATTAGGGTATCTTGTTTAAAAGATGTGTCCGATGACCCCGCCCATGAACCAAGATGGCCGACATGGCTAAAAAATAGTACATAGGGTAAAATGCAGTTTTTGGCTCATATCTCTGAAACCAAAGCATTTAGAGCAAATCTGATGAGTATAAAATTGTTCATTAGGTCAAGATCTATCTGCCCTGAAATTTTCTTACCAATCAGGCAACCCGTTGTTGGGTTGCTGCCCCTGAATTGGTAATTTTAAGGAAATTTTGCCGTTTTTGGTTATTATCTTGAATATTATTATAGATAGAGATAAACTGTAAACAGCAATAATGTACAGCAAAGTTAGATCTACAAATAAGGCAACATGACCAAAATTGTCAATTGACCCCTTAAGGAGTTATTGCCCTATATAGTCAATTTTTTACAATTTTCATAAATTTTGTAAATTTTTGTAAATTTTTACAAAGTATTTTCCTATGTATCTACCGGGCCAAGTTCATTATAGATAGAGATAATAGTAAGGAGCAAGAATGTTCAGTAAAGTAAGATCTACAAACACATCACCATCACCAAAACACATCACCATCACCAAAACACAATTTTGTCATGAATCCATCTGTGTCCTTTGTTTAATATGCACATAGACCAAGGTGAGCGACACAGGCTCTTTAGAGCCTCTAGTTAGATTTATACCTCGAATTTGACATACACTGTCATCTCAGTACCAGAATCTATGACAAACGAGACGATTTTAGTTTTGAAATTATCAATTTGCCCCACCTTAGTAGCAATATACCAACTTCACCTGCATATGGGATATACATCTCCCAACTTATTCGCTATTCAAGAGCTTGCAGCTCCTACTCAGACTTTGTAAAACGTCACCAGTGTCTGAGCAGAAAGTTGATGAACCAGGGGTATGCCAAAGAACGTCTTGTCCTTTTTCTAAAAAAGTTCATCGGAAGGTACCAAGACCTTGTTGATAAATATTCCGTATCAACTTCACAAATAATACAGGATGGTCTTGAAGTATAGATTCTGTGTACTGACGTTGTTTATCATCTTAATAACGTGTTATAGTACTCTTTTATTTGTCTTTATTAATCTTACTTTTACTGTTAGGTCTGTTTTTTTAGATATCCATTTGACAGGACTCTGTACTTATGTATCCCGTCATACTTTGAACGACAAAATTATTTTATTTATTAATATTACTTTTACTGTCAAGTCTGTTTTTTGTGATATCCATTTTACGTGATTCTGTACTTATGTATCCCATCATACTTTGAACGACAAAATTATTTTATGTCTACCTCTGCGAATTTCAAACGCGCGATTTTACGCCAGTACTTAAAACCTTCCATCCTTTATGGGTGGATTTTACATAGATAAATAAAATTGTATAATAAAAAAGCAAAATGAGGATGTTAAATTTGATGTACCGGTATGCCTTTTTGTGCTTCTTCATTACATTTGTTTGTTTTTATAGTGATTAAGATGATAACACAATGTTGACTGCTGTACCCCTATTTTTGACATTTTTACCTTTTGTGTCTGTTTGTTTTGTTCACACATCGTTGTCAATATAATGGAATTTGATGCAACTGTCATACAAGTGAGAGGTTTAGCTAGCTATAAAACCAATTTCAATCCACCATTTTCTACATAAGAAAATGCCTGTACCAAATCAGGAATATGACAGTTGTTATCCATTCGTTTGATGTGTTTGAGCTTTTGATTTTGCCATTTGATTAGGGACTTTCCTTTTTGAATTTTCCTAGGAGTTCAGTATTTTTGTGATTTTACTTTTTATACGACCGCAAAAAAATTTTGTGGTCGTATATTGGTATGACGTTGGCGTCGTCGTCGTCCGAAGACACATTGGTTTTCGCACTCTAACTTTAGTTTAAGTGAATGGATCTCTATGAAATTTTACCATAAGGTTCAATACCACAAAAGGAAAGTGGGGATTGATTTTGGGGGTTATGGTACCAACAGTTAAGGAATTAGGGGCCAAAAAGGGGCCAAAAATAAGCATTTTTGTAACTTCCAGACATAACTTGTGTGTTAGTGTATGGATCTCTCTGACATTGTACCACAAGGTTCCATATCACAAAGGGAATGCTGGGATTGATTTTGGGGGTAATTGCCTCCAAATTTTTGGAATTAGGGGCCAAAAAGGGGCAAAAAACAAGCATTTTTCTAGTTTCATGACAATAACTTGTGTGTAAGTGTATGGATCTCTCTGACATTGTACCATAAGGTTCCATATCACAAAGGGAATGCTGGGATTGATTTTGGGGGTAATTGCCTCCAAATTTTAGGAATTAGGGGCCAAAAAGGGGCAAAAAACAAGCATTTTTCTACTTTCATGACAATAACTTGTGTGTAAGTGTATGGATCTTTATGGAATTGTACTACAAGGTACCAAACCACAAAGGGAAGGCTGGGATTGATTTTGGGGATAATTCCCTAGAAATTTGAGGAATTAGGGGCCATAAAGGGGCAAAAAAACAAGCATTTTTCTAGTTTCAGGACAATAACTTGTGTGTAAGTGTATGGATCTTTATGAAATTGTACTGCAAGGTTCCATATCACAAAGGGAAAGCTGGGTTTGAGTTTGGGGGTAATTGCCCTAAATGTTTAGGAATTTGGGGCCAAAAAACAAGCATTTTTCTTGTTTCCAGACAATAACTTGTGTTCAAGTGTATGGATCTCTCTGAAATTGTACAGTTCATGCATGTGAACCTCCCGATCGGAGTACAATAATCCCGTTTTCAGGGGTCTCCTCCCGACCTCCCGTTGAAGACAAAAAAATCCCGTGTATGAAATATTTCATGAATGAAATTTCAGCCCAACATATCTGGTGTAACCTGAGACTACTATAACACATTATATATATGTGTTATAGTAGTCTCAGGTGTAACTGACATTACTGAAGTTATATTTTACCTGTAAATCAATTAACATGCATAATTATATGGCCTCACTTGTCACCTTGGGTGTCAAACATACTGGTAATAAACGATTTTTACCTCAGGCTAACTGCCGTTGTGTAATAAAACTTTGTTTATTTAAAATGAATGTTGGGTTACTTCCCTTGATTTATCCTGTTTTAAGTTACTTTCCTTTAAATAATGTAAATTTTTAAAAGAATATAAATAAAATATAAATTGAACAAATAATCATAAAAGGATGGTAATTAAATGATTTTAAATGTTTTAGGACACATAAAAAAAAAATAATAATTTGAAAACTATTTGAGGGTTCTATACTTCCTTTCTAGACTTAAATTGAAATTTATATAATAACTATGACCCATGATTACAGTGTGAATGTGTTACTTATCATGCATTAAATATCTACTTGCATATTATAAAGATAAAATAAAAAAAAATCTACTTGCATAAAGATAAAAATAAAAGATCTACTTGCAGATAGATAAGCAAATGTTCTGATTGCAATGAATAATGGTAAAAAAGATATGACCTAAAAAATTTAAAGAACATACTGAAAAAGAAGAATGTTAGATTGAACAAGTTGAAAGTTTAAAAAGATAGAGAAAATTTATAAGTACAAAGGTACTATATACATAATACATTCGGATGGAAAGTTGAAGAAAACACACTTTAACAGACAATTTCTACAGCACACGGTTACATTTACAACAGAATTTATGTCGATTAAAAACATCCTGATCTGAGTCCTAATCTCCAAAATTCCTGATCTTAGTTTCACAGTCCATCACATGTATGTGTACTGCAAGGTACCATACCACAAAGGGAAGGCTGGGATTGAGTTTGGGGGTGATGAATCATAAGGGGGTTCAAAAAATTTGGGGGGGGGGGAATTTTTTTTCCTTTTTTTCTTTAAAATTTTCCATTTTAAATCGGTTATTTCTGATTTATATATAAAAGCAAATAATAATGATATGGTTTGAATAGATAAATTAAAAATTTTTAAGTTCTTAGACCACATTTATTCTGTGTCAGAAACTGTGTCAAATATTTAATTACAATCCAAATTCAGTGCTGTATCAAGCTTGAATGATGTGTCCATACTTGCCCCAACTGTTCAGGGTTCGACCTCTGCGGTCGTATCAAGCTGCGCCCCAGCGGAGCATTTTATTATTCACTATTAAACACATAACATTTTCTCCCTTTGAAAACAAATTTCCAAACATTTCTAGGTGGCACAATAGTACAATGTATTTACATTCCAGTATTAAGGTTGCTCATTGTGTACCCTACTTAAGTCAATTAATGTATCTGAAGAGTGTGATTGGACAGACTTACAGTTTCTTCTAAACAGACTTTCCTAAACTGAGGAATGAATCACGTGTAGAAAATTATAAAATAATTTTACATACAGTGAAAAAGAATTTTTGAGAATTTTATATTCTCTGCATGATAAAAAACATAAAAAAAAAAAGTATCCTCAGATTCAAAAAGATAGCATAAAAAGAAACCGGTCATTCATTTCTAAATATTATATTGAAAGTACTTCAGATTGTGTATGTAGAATTTTGGGCAGTGTTAGAAAGTGGAGAACATTCTAAAAAGGCTATCATTATCCCTATGGGCCAGGAAATACTACCGTGCCACCTTAATTAGTATATATATATGATGTACACTAAATTAATTGTATTTTTTTTTACCTATTCAGTTTGTCATTTACAAATAAATAGTTGATAAAAGGCAACTAGAAAAAGAACAAAACTTAAATTCCCCCCCCTGGGAGTGAAAATTGAATATTCAGAAAATTTTGCCTAATCTTTGGGTAGTAGTGCCCAAATTTACCCCGACAGTAGCACTTTATAATTTCAATGTAACTTGCAATACATTTTTAATTATAAATACTCGCTTTAACTTTTCGAAGTGTTTGACACATGCAAAACCACTGGAATTTAAGACATGACATATTTTAGCTGCCTCAGTACATCCTATAACTTTCACCACCTTTGGCCGCAACCTTGGATAAAAAATGTTCAGTAGCCAAAGTTGCCAATCATGATATTCAATCCCTAGACACAAAACATTCTGGATCAGGGATGGCGTCCAAAGTAAATTATGTAAAAAACTGTTTGAAATATTGAAAATTTTACCAAAAACTGACGTTTCCACACAAATAATGCATACTTGAGGGATAATTTATTCGTCATTTTCAATGTGATGTGTCAAAAAGAAGTTGCCTTGTATAAATAGTTACATCGCAACTATTTCTTTTTGAAATTTGTAGTATTTTGGCCTGATTTAAAAAAAATATCAAATTGTTAGGGCCAGTTTGAACCATTTGTGATCTTACTCCTATATTGATTTCTTGGTATACTTGAATATACTGAATCTGTCCAAATATAAGTCCAAAAATTAACTATATGATGTTCTTTAATGTGCTAAATCTAACCTTGTATTTAGATTTTGGATTTTCACGGCCCTGTTATCAAATTGGACCACAGTGATGTCCAAAATTAAAGTTTGTTTTATTTCATCAAAAATCAAATTCTGAGGGTTCTATGATAACCTGAATCAAACCATATATTTAGATTACGGAAATTGGGCCATGATAGGTAAAAGTCCAATTTCAATTTTTCCAGTTCTTTGACCAAATTCATTCTGTGTCAGAACCCTATGCTATGTCAAATATTTAATCACAATCCAAAACCAAAGCTGTATCAAACTTGAATGTAATGTCCATACTTGCCCCAACTGTTCTAGGTTCGACCTCTGAGGTAGTATCAAGCTGCGCCCAGCAGAGCATTTTATTTCTAATAATATGGTTTTTACCCACATCTCTTTATACTTATATTTGATTATCCTTTTGTTTGTGTATTTTACCTTATCAGACATTATATCTTAAATTCTTCATTTATGTATGTAGAAATTATTAAGAAACTAAAGTTCCAACTTTCTCAAGGAAAGTTGACCTTAGATGGATATGGCTATTCCCTTTTGGTCCCTCTAAGATATGGCTATTCCCTTTTGGTCCCTCTAAGATATGGCTATTCCCTTTTGGTCCCTCTAAGATATTGCTATTCTCTTTTGGTCCCTCTAAGATATGGCTATTCTCTTTTGGTCACTCTAAGATATGGCTATTCTCTTTCAATGGTCCCTCTAAGATATGGCTATTCTCTTTTGGTCCCTCTAAGTCATACAGCTTCTCGCATGTTCAAGAAATTATACAGCCTTGGCTTTCATTTTGTTTTTGGTTTGAGTGTTCCAGATGAGGGTAAATCCAAAAAATCTAGAGCTCTTTGGAAACCCCAAATTATTGAATTATTGTGTTATTTTTATATATGGGACCTCTAAATCCTCCAAAAGCCCCACCAAAATTGCATTACCCCCACCCTACACACACACCTTTACATTGATGCATTGCTGTTGTTTCATATATTTGTGTGTCAGTGCAAGATCAGATGGAAAGTAATGTGACTTTTAACCCTTGCCTTCTTTTATTCTTATTCTGTAATCATATAAGAATAATTTATATTTGCATAGAAAATTGTAAAAATAGTTTTACAAAAAAATTGCATACAAGCATGTACTATCTATTTCAGGCATTAAAAGTAACAATGACCAAGCATCCCAGTAGTTTTAAGTTGGAAGGTGATTTGAAGAAAAAGATTGAAGAAGTATCTGAAGAGCCATTAGTCCTTTATGATGGTAAAAAACATGTTATTATTATACACAAACATCAAGAGTAAAACAGTGGCCTGTTATTATTTACATTTTAGAAAAAAAGAAACATAAAAAGGTGTTTATGCTGAACTTCTAAATGAAGGAAGAGCTGCAATAAAAAAAACATGGTTTGTTCAATTGCATATCATTTTATGTTGTGTTTTGTACATCTATTAGCCAAAATTATGAGACATTTTATTTACTCTATATATTGTCTGTATTAGAGCTTACATGGCTTTCCAGGTATAATATAGAACAACAAACTAAACTGATGATAACAAAAAAAACATAAAATGATAGAAAATAACACAAAGGCTAGATAGCTTGACTTATGTATAAGAACAAAGTAGTGTGAGGTTGAAAAGTTTGTATACAGAAACTTACCTTCTAACTATTAAAACTATGTCATAAAGATAAACAATAAAAATCCTTGACAGAACACTTTCTCAAAACTATTCACTAATTTCTAACATTTATAGAACTTAGAAAAAGCAATAATTTAGTCAAAATGTACAAATATCCTTGATATTTCTAGAAGGGTTGCTAATGTTATAGGTAGAATATTTGCATCTTTATATATACAGGTGTAATGAAATCTCATCATAGTATTTAAGTGTTACTTTTTATTAAGTCTACTGATTTAAGTGAAAGGTCAGTCAGTATGAACAATGGTCAGATTGTCATTGGAAGGAATGAATTGGTTAAAACATGATAACTTCACACTTATTCTTTTTTAATTCTAACATTACATTATTTTAAAATGTCTCATAGAAATATTTAGGAATAAACTTTAAAATAAATTAAAAACAAATTGTTCAGAGAACAATTGAAGGTCTTTCCACCAGAAAGGAACTATTTTGATATGAAAATATTAAAATTTGGTTTTGAATGTCTATTCTAGCGTCAAAATACAGCTTATTGTACGGTGATTCCAAAAATATATGGTTTCTACACAAAAATATATAAATTAGGGTGAAATTTTTTTACTTCTGGTTTGAAAAATGTCACTTCCGGTATTTTTTGATAATTTACTTGACACAGATTCCAAAAATCATTGGTTCTATATACTTTTACATTAATTTAGTACAAAAAATAGCTACTTCCGGTTTACAAAAAGTCACTTCCGGTTTACAAAAGGTCACTTCCGGTTGGCTTTTTCAAGGTCACATTGCTTGCAACCTAATGCAAAAAGTCCCATGTCTTTATCATGTATACATATGAGGTAAAAGCATAGGTCAAAATCTAGAACGTTAAATTTACCTATGACCTTGAGTTCAATTTCAAGGTCATCAACCAAGGACCTCAAATCAAAAGACTCTAGGCCTCTACTTTATATTGTTAATGAGTTATATTACCATACAACTTATATTATATATAAAAGGGAGGAAAACTCGCATCAAATGTCTATGTACCCTTTCAACTAAAATTTACATGTTACGACATGTCGCAACTAACAATTGTGTGAAAATATTTTGTCGATATCTTATATGATTTCTGAAAATAAGAGATAACAAGCCAAAATCAAAATTTTGAACATGACCTTGACCTTTGACCTTGACCTCATTTTCATTTTTTTGGACCAAGGACCTCAAATCAAAAGACCCTAGGCCTCTAACACTTATGGTTTTTGAGTTAAAAATACATTTCACTTATATCAAATACAAAAGGGGAAATAACTCTCATATGGAATCTCTATACTGCTTCGGTCATAATAAAACAGAACATCCTGAGGATATAACAAGCAATTTGGAAAAATAAATTTGTCGGTTTCTTATACGGTTCCGAAGCCTTAGAAATAACAAGAAAAACAGTGATCGGGGAGATAACTCTTATATGGGAAAGTATTCAGTTAAGCGGTGTCAGTTTCAAAAGCGTATAAACTGTTCGATATCATATTCCAAATATCTAAGCGACATCTTGCGAAACCAAAAAATAGCGAAGGAAAAAAATTAGGCGGAAAAGTGGAAAGACCTAATTACTGTAAATTCTGACATTATTGTGAGGTTTTTATAAATGTGAATAATGTGGCTGGGTGAGTATCGGAAGAATAAGAACTTCATTTATCTGATACATCTATCTTATGCATATTCCTGAAATGGCAATAATTAATCTCACATTTTTGTCCATTCTTCAAAAAGCACAATAATGTAATAATTTCTGAATTTACATGCATCAAACATATCAATATTTCAGAACATAAGTCTATTTTCCTCTTATATTTAAAATACACTTTACATCAAAGCAAATAGTGTGTTTTAGGGTCTGATATACTGATGCTTTTTTTTCTTTTTATCACTTCTTGCTCACTCATATAAACCCTCATTTCTTCTTCATTTTTTTATGTCACTTTTTTTCAGTCATTTGATAACATTTATGTCATGTATGCGGTAATCTTTAAAAAATCTTAAACTTGCCATCAAAAATATTTATTCTTGTTTATAGTGTTCCAAGATATATCAGTGGCTTAGCTTGTCTTAAGTCATTACCAAGGCAGGGTATTTGGGAGGCTGCGCTCCCCAGACGCTTTCAAGATTTTGGATTCCAACAAAGTCGAATCTATTCAAAATAATAGCGTTTTGTTTTCTTTTATTTTGAATAGTTGTTTTAAATATGCCTCATAATATGTTATACTCCTGAGCCTCATACTATGTTATACTCCTGAGCCTCATACTATGTTATACTCCTGAGCCTCATACTATGTTATACACATGTACTCCTGAGCCTCATACTATGTTATACTCCTGAGTATGAAATAGAGTAATGCATAGATGATCATCACAAATATGCCTCAGTGATTCAACAACATGAGGTCTTGATAAGCTAGGAAAAACCACAACATAAAGTATGCCACAGCTCTTTTATTGGTTGTGTTTTGGCCAGATATTTGTTGGAAAAACAAATTGTAAAAGTGACCATAGGAGAAGTTCTAACAGAAACATTAACCTGATAGCTGTGCAATGTTTAATTCTGGAGTCTTCTTAATAAATGACAACAGTATTTGGTTGAAAAAAATAAGTTTATAAATTATATGAATTAATGACTCTTTTACATTAACAAAATCCTGACCAAGTGAAAAGCTGTAAATTTGAAATATAGTTTATAAAACTGGATTACAACAACAACTACTACAGGGGTGTTTAACAACCTTGACTACCTCTGAGGGTCTTGCATGGTCACCTGCCAGGGGTTACAACATAATTATTGTTGAGTCATTATAGTGGCTGCATCTGTGGTACATCTATGAATGTTTTTTAAAGAATTATAGTTTTCACTTTTCAACAAATTTGCATTTGAATTTTTTGTTACAAAATTGTCGGACATGTCAATGAAACTGTGTGTAATTGCAGTGCTACATGTAGTGAAAAATGTCAACACACAAGTTGTAGATGTTTCTTCTTTAGAAGTAAATGTTCTTATATGAGGGTTTAGATGGGATCTTTATTTATTTATTCTCTATTGTTTTTGCCAGTTTTCTCTATTCTTTATTTTTTCTGCCAATAAATTTTATTCTTTAACATTTTAGCACCCCTTTAATTTAATATCTTCAGTTTTGACCTTTTCTCTATTTATGATGTACTATGCATTCATTTATTTTTGTGGGTACCAATTTTCCTGATTGAGGTAAACTTGCATTTTCCTGGATATGTTTGATATTATGCTAAGATACAGGTATCGACAGATTATAGATCCGTGAATGTGCATATGTATATAACAATAATATTTAGTTTGGTTTTTAAAATTTACTTATAACAAAAAGACATCCCAAGCCAATATTTATACCAATAAAAACAATATTCAAAGATATAATTACAGTGTTGAATTGGTAACTTTTTAGAATAAGATTATTTAAAGGGCCGATAAGTTTAATGCCCCTCTAAAATTACAACTGCATTTTTTTGTAAAACAATGTTGAAAGTGTAACAATGAACAGAGAATCAGCCCTCACTGTGAAAAGATTATATTGACATTTCCTCAATTTAAAAGATAGTTCAGTCCCAAGTTAAAAAAAGAAAAAAAAAACGTGAATATCTGTCCTTAGGACACCATGCCCTACTGGCAATATCAAATTTCCATGTTTAGATTACTGTCAAATCTTGGAACAAACCCTAATTTAGATATATATAAAAAAGTTCACATCATAAAAACATGTTTATTAAGTTTTACGTATGAAGAAACAATAATCAAATAAGGCTTAGTGGTTATTAATCTGTCACCATAGATTCCACCAAATAAAATGTTCATGGATCAAGATATAAATGGAAAGATGGAACAATATACCAGTATGTACATTGTCGAAAAAATATAAGATTTATTTGCCCTTGCTCTAAATCCCTTATGTTGTTAGCTTGATATTTTTCAATTTTCCAGACTTCATCACTTCTTTTGAGATGGTCAAAACATAGTGAATTGGGAACAACATTCTATACATCCTGTCCATGAACATTCAACAAATTTATCAATGAAACATATACTCAGATATTCAATTTACAAAATGATGTGTATGTGTATAACTATACTTGTCAGGAAAATTACAAAAATTGTGCATTGTGCATGAATCTAGTATCTGTTAAAAAATATCAATGGTGTCATTGTTAAGGTAATATTTAGAATTGGAGTTATCTTCTTTTGTCCATAATTGTAGTTGAACAAATTCATAGTATTGCCAATGTAATGATAAATTTTATGTCCCCACTGCGAAATGAATGCAATCTTTATCCTTTAGTGCTCACAGGCACTTAGATTTTTTAAACCATGTACATAAATTGTATATTTGCCTTTTGGCCAGGAGAGCTATAACAGAGGAACTTGAAAATCTATATTTCAAAATTCAATGAAAAGATGATAAATGGGAATGTATTATTATTTGTTTCCACCCTAAAACTCTGCTCTGAAGTAAAGATGTGAAAGCATTTTTGAAAATGTTGTTGTTGATTTATGTCTTATGGTAACATAGTTTAACACAGTTTAATAGATAATGTATAATATCATTTCAAGGCTTTTGTAACACTTTATAACTTCTCCTTCATCATTTATAATTGTAGGGCCAGTCCGTAACCTTTGTGCTTTAGCACCTAACAATGTGAACACAATGGCAGCAGCAGCATTAGCAGCACATAACCTTGGTTTCGACAAAGTTAAGGGATCAATAATTGCTGATCCAAAGTAAGTATATTAGTATTATATTTACTGCTGTAATGTTTTCAAACATGATGCTTACCTGATATTGTGGGGACTCCTAAAGGGAGACAACAGTCTCTCCTAAAACCTTTTTCTCTCCTATAACCTTCCCCAAATAAAATAAATCATTTCATGTACAAAAATAGCTTTTAATAGTTGAGGCAAATTGAAAGAACAGTATCATTTAAAATTTGAATATTTACCGGATGTAGATATAAAACATAAAATAAGGTTTCTCGTGTAATATAGGACGCAAATACATTGTTAGAACCATATAGTGTTCAGTAGCATCTGTCAGTTTAGTTATTGTTGAAGAATGATCATTGATGACTTTATTTTCAGCATGTAAAAGTTGTAGGTATGAACATACTAGAATTGGTTCATCAATTTAATAATAATGTTTAAGCCTTTTGGTTCTTATCAAATAATATAAATGTTCTGCTTAAAGAGTTCTATGAAAGTATTCAACTGTCAAAATTTTATATGATTGGCCAAGTGAAGTCATGAAAAATAATGGAAAGATAAACAAAAATTCTCAAATAATTATATTTGCTAACTTATTCCAAAAATTTCTGGGAAGAAAAGATTTGCACCATTATTTCTGAGGGTAATATTCAGGTTTACTAATCCATTCCAACATTATTTCTACATTTAATTTTGAGATTTGTTTATTAATGACAGGTTAGAAAACTGGCATATTGTGGAAGTAGAGACTTGGGGACCTGGATCAATAGAAAATAAAACAGCATTTCATGTTAAAACTGTACGAAATAATCCAGCAAATGTTGGAGCAGTCACGGGCAGTGCTACATATGCTTCTTTCTTTAGTAGCATACTTGGTAAGAAACTGGTATAGATCTGAAATTTATAATATGTACACAGAAAAATCTTCAGTATTTAAACATGCTCGTAACTCAATTTCTCTGTTTTAGGGATTATTGGGAAAATTTGGCTCTTTCTACATGGTTAGTTGTTTGTTTTAAATGTGCTTCAGAGAGATACATTTTTATGCTTTTTATATAAAATAAGGAGATGTGGTGTGATTTCAAATGAGAAAACTATCCACTGTAGACAAAATGACATAGCTGTTAACAATTATATGTGAAAAATGAGCAAAACCCATACTGACTTATGTACAAAGCAACAAACAGAAAACAAACATGATATACAGCAATAATTGACAACCACTGAATTATAGCCTCCTGACTTGAGACAGACACATACAGAATAGGATAGGGTTAAACATGTGTGAGGTTACCCAACCCTCCTATAACCTGTGAAAATGATGTAACAGCAGAGCACAAGAACAAACATAAAAAAATCAGTTGAAAAAGGCTTGCAGGAACTACAAATCAGAGAATTTTCTGAAATTTGGTATCGAGCTTAATGTGAGCATTCTTTACCCTTTGATGCCTTTTCATATCCATCAATCTTCAAGATCCTATTTAGTAAATACTTAAAGCAAGTCACATTATATCTTGTTATTTGAACAATTTCTCATGATAATTAATTAAATAAACCGCAAGTCATGAGATGAATACTTCTGTCAATTTCAACATTGCCACTACACAATTTGGTCTTCAAAGATATTATTGTATGTTACATATTGTTTGAAAAAAATACTTTTAATTTAATGTAGATAAAATTAATTGTAAATTAGATTCAAGTAGACTTATTTTATTTTGGTTGCAGGAGCTCATGGCAAAGGACCTGGTCTTCATCTTTGTTGACAACACCTAGAAAAGTTCATACACATTTTCATTGGTATTTTCAAGAGTTGAACTTGGCGTCTGACATTACCGTATTCTCAAACAGTCCAGATGGACACGATTTCACTTATTACTAGAAATGTGGAATTGAAATAAGAATTAAATACTGAAAGCTTATACAAAATTGTGCTGTTGTAATATTTTTGCATTAATGAATACTGAATTAGTTTACCAAAAATTTCACAAAAAACTAAAGAATCCCACTATAACAAGAATGTGTCCATAGTACACGGATGCCCCACTCTCACACTATCATTTTCTATGTTCAGTGGACCTTGAAATTGGGGTCAAAACTCTAATTTGGCATTAAAATTAGAAAGATCATATCATAGGGAACATGTGTACTAAGTTTCAAGTTGATTGGACTTCAACTTCATCAAAAACTACCTCGACCAAAAACTTTAACCTGAAGCGGTACAGACGGACGAATGGACGGACGAATGAACGGACGTACGGACGCACAGACGGAAAAACATAATAATAACCTCAAGGTACAACGTGGAGCTGTGATACTGTGAATTTAAGTAAAGTTTAACAGATATTTTGAAAATGATCCAGGTTTGAAATAATTTCAGTGGAAATAGTTCCAACCTTTTTGATTCTGATTTTTTACCCTGTTTTTTGTGACGCCTGCGATGAAAGGGACATCGGGATTACAATTTGGCAGGAGTGTAAACTGTTTGTATTAAGCTTTATATTTCTGAGGGTAGTTGACCTGGAGGCTTCATACTTTGTATACGGATGCCTCAAGTTACGAAGTTTCTGTCTGTCATATGTTTGTTGTCTTTGACCTCATTTTCATGGTTCAGCGACTGCATGAATTTTTTTTTTAAGGTTTTTTCTTATGTGAATTTTTCACTTATTTTGAGTAATAGGAACAATATTAGGTATATAGATATAGATTCCTTGCAAGGTCTACATGTCCGTCAGACAAGGCTCACCTGACCTCGACATAATTTCATGGATCGGTGATCAAGATTTAAGTTATGTGATTAGGTTTGTTTCTCAGATACTATAAGCAGTAGGTCAACTATATTTGGTGTATGGAATGATAGTAAGGTGTACATGTCAGTCTGGCAGGTTTCATCTGACCTTGACCTCATTTTCATGGTTCATTAGTAGTAAAACGTTTTAATGGTTTTGGTCTGTTTATTGTATACTACAAGCAATAGATCTATAATTGGTGTATGGAAAGATTGTAAGATGTACATGTCTGTCAATTTAGTTTATTTGACCTGGACCTCATTTCATGGATCATTCATGTTTATGTGAAACTTGTAGTAAAACGTTATCCTTATGACTATCAATATAAAAGCATAGTAAGTAAAGCAGGAGAGTCATTTCAGCGTGTGCACTCTTGTTTCCTTATATATTTTTCGTGTTTTATTCCTTTGATTTATATTTTCGGATTTACATTTTCGGACAAGTTCTATATCTTGAATGTTTGATCACTTTTTAATGATTGCTTGGAATTTGATAAATTCAATTTTGCAGACTGACTTCAGGGTTTCTGTGAACTGGAGAAAACCAATGATGGTACATCTAATCAGACATATAATACTGACAATAAATTTTGTTTTATATGTCTCTGATCTAATCTTTTGATACTCTTCTCAATATTGTCCTTTTGGTATTTTGTGGTCTTAGCTGTATTTTGTTCAGTTTTCGAATGTGCTGACAAAATTTCTTTAATTGAATGATGTTTCAAATTCATATTTTGCTGCTGATCATTTGAATGCAGGACAGAAAGTCACAGGACAAAAAGTCACAGTTCAGTTTTGAGATTATTTTTAATTGAACAAGAAAAACTCTAATTTAAAAAATTTTGTTTTTGTTTTTTTCTTGAACAATATATGAAACAACTTTGTTATTAAAATTTATTCAATAAATATCAATAATGATCAAATAATTGTTATGAAAACAAAATGTCAAAGTGGCTTGGTACTTAAATGGCTTCATGGTGCCAAGAAATATATTCTTGGCATGATTGAAATTTAATAAATTTCCATTATCAAGGCTTATGAACAATTTCCTAAACTGAAAAATGAATATATGTAATAAAAAGAAAATATTTCAAGTTCTTTCTCTTATATATTCGAACAATTTTCAATAAATTATTTGTGACTTTTTGTCCTGTGACTTTTTGTCCCATCAAATTTGTGACTTTATGTCCTGTGACTTTTTGTCCTGTGACTTTTTGTCCGTTTACCGATCATATAACCATTTTTCGTTATCAGATGAAAATCTTCTTTTTGTTTCATTTGGATTTTTTGACAGATTGAGTGCAAACCCCTTTTCTTGTCTTTTGGAGTGCGTAGGTTTACTAATAAAAACGATTTTCAAAGGACTGCTGTAATTGAAAGTTGTTTTTTTTTTGCCTGTATGATCAATATCAAATTCCTCCCATGTAGCAGAAACCCAGAGATGCTACTACCAACGGTACTGGTTGTTCTTAGGCAACCATTTTCCTAACCCGTAAGTATGATAATTTGCAATGTCCTGACTCCGGATTTAAATTGTTACTGTCGTGACATACACGATTTTTAGTTGTACTAAGTGCAGTATTGTTTTCAGTGCAATTATTTCTGAGAAGCAAAACGCCAGTTTCAGTATCTGCAATTTGTCGAAAACCACGTGATGTGTTATCATGTTTATCATCGCGCAATTCGTCCACACTCCGTTTCTGTTCCAGAATCCACTGTAAAACAAATGTATATATACACTAATAAAAAACGCAATATTGCATTGTTTGTATATCTGTGAATACACGTTTTATTCTAACCTAAAATACTGTCCATCGGCATGCAAATATGACATACATATTCAGAACGATATAACCAGAGACATATATACACAGAGATTGGCAACTGTAACAGTGGTCAGCGAAATCCAATTAAAAACACGCATCACACGAGACTTTAACGAGATCGCCATTTTGCATCTGATCATGACAAGTTCACCACCGCTTCGATTTTTATTTTGCATCAAGCTTTTCAAAACAGCATAATGTAAGTACATATTTCAATTTCGTAAATTATTTACCTTGTTTTATTCAGTTTGTAGTAATTGTTAGTTAAAATATTGTGACGATTAACGTTTTATTGTGGTCAATAATAAGGGGAAAGCTTGGCCGACATAGACGTTATGAAAATTTTTTACACGGACGTATTTTTTATTAAAACCTTTTCATTCGAAAAGGAATAAAACCATTTATGAGATGAATCACCTTTCCCAAGACATACTGGTTTTGTGTAAATATGTTGAATTTTTCATTAAATCACCCACTTTGATGCAATTTACAATTAAAATTCAGTATTCTCGCGGTCGGCCACGTTCAATTTTTAAAATATAAAGACAGGCCCCTGTCCATGTCTACAGTCAATAAACTTTTCCATCTTTAGAGAATAATTATTCCCAGCACATGAATTACTTTCTTATGACATACTGGATTTGTGTATAACAGTTGTTTTTTCCATATTTTCACCCACTTTGATGCAATTTACAATTAAAAACGACCATTCAAGCTGTCGGCCATTTTCATTCTCTTCAATATAAAGACAGGCCCCTGTCCATGTCTACAGTCAATAAACTTTTCCATCTTTAGAGAATAATTATTCCCAGAACATGAATTACTTTCTAATGACATACTGGATTTGTGTATAACAGTTGTTTTTTCCATATTTTCACCAGCTTTGATGCAATTTACAATTAAAAATGACCATTCAAGCTGTCGGCCATTTTCATTCTCTTCAATATAAAGACAGGCCCCTGTCCATGTCTACAGTCAATAAACTTTTCCATCTTTAGAGAATAATTATTCCCAGCACATGAATTACTTTCTTATGATATACTGGATTTGTGTATAACAGTTGTTTTTTACATATTTTCACCCACTTTGATGCAATTTACAATTAAAAATGACCATTCAAGCTGTCGGCCATTTTCATTCTCTTCAATATAAAGACAGGCCCCTGTCCATGTCTACAGTCAATAAACTTTTCCATCTTTAGAGAATAATTATTCCCAGCACATGAATTACTTTCTTATGACATACTGGATTTGTGTATAACAGTTGTTTTTTCCATATTTTCACCAGCTTTGATGCAATTTACAATTAAAAATGACCATTCAAGCTGTCGGCCATTTTCATTCTCTTCAATATAAAGACAGGCACCTGTCCATGGCTACACTTTATAAAATTGTCCATCTTTAAAGAACAAATGTACCCATCACCATTGATCACAGAATTACTTTCCCAAGACATACCGGTTTTGTGTATATAAATTGTTTTTTTCATTATTTCCACCACTTTGATGACATTTACAAGTTTATATTCATGTATATTTACATTCAGTATCTGACAGCATTTTTTTTTTAACAGGATCCTGCATGTTATAAAAGAACAAAGATGTTGATCAAATTTACCTAACAGTGCAGCATACAAGAGATGTAATATCATACATGTGCTGAATGTAGGACTCCCTAGCCTTTCTGATTGAAAAAAAGATTCCCTGGCAGACAGGAACAACTATTAGTGATGACTTTTTTCAAATGTTACTGCACAGTCATGTAGTGGACCGATTACATGTACTACTATCAATGTGATACTAAAAAATGGTTTTGTAAGAGAGAAAATGACATGTGCTTATCCTGACTGTGAAAACACCACATTATTGTAGTTCAAATATCATAGTTCATATGCCAAACTTGATGTACATGTGTATGCGATTTTTGTGCAAGTGATGGTGACATCATTGAACTAAGAATAAATACAAGACTCCGCATTCAATCTATTGAATTTGAAACAGAAGTGGCAGTTGTGCAGAGACTATACAGATAAAAATGCAAATAAATATCTTGTGTTCAACTTCATTTGTCTTCTTTACGTTTACAAAGTATACATGTACATAATTTTTACATACATGTATAACAATATGATGATGTAGTATGATTGCCAATGAGACAATGATTTACATGTATGACTATCATTGGAAGGCCACTCTATAATATCTTTGTATATCATGAGAATGGAAATGCTACCTTTGTAGCATAAAGGTAGCATAATGTAAAAAAAGGGAAAATGTTCATTTATTCAACAACACTCCTGTGAATATATAACTTGACAGTACTGAAGGCAAAATATTTCGTTTCACAAATTCCTTCCTCTCCTCGGAAAATATCATATTTAATTGTTTACATGAAATGACAAAATGTGTAGAATAAGAAGCAAGAAATGTTCACTCTACTTGTACACTACTAGTCGCTCATATTAGTCATCATCTATGTTTGTTTCAGTCCTTTAGCAATGGTGCTTGTTTATATTTATCTGTTGTGTTGTGTTGTTTCAGTTTTACGTGTCCTCATTCTGTGATCACTGTTTCACCTCGCCTATTTTGAAAAATGTTAATGCAAATATTTTCTGCAATAAATTGAAAAGGCACAGCTGCTATGACTATTCAGAAATGTGAGGTATATGTCAATGAGACAACAACCACAACGACAAAAATATTCTTTGCACATCTATGAATGTTTAAGAATTCTTGTGGAGGTCAAAAGCACATAACGTGTACTTATATATTGGTGACCTGGTACATGTATGTACCTATTGATGCATTCCGTCCTAAACATAAATTGTGTGAAGAGACCAAGCAGTTTATATGCTTATAAAAAAACTGATATTAAAATGAATTCCTGTATAACAAATTCCGGGAATGAGACTATTTTATTTAAACCAGATGAGATATTAGTGGTAAAGGTTTAAACAGAAGCAGGAGATATCAAGGGGCAATACAAAAAGTACAAGGTCATGTAACACAGATAAAAAAATGACAAATGAAAAAATAACAGCCCACATAGCACTGCACCGAAACATAAACCCACAAAAGATCAGATAAAACTTGTCTTCAATTTTAAATCTTTCTAATTTCAAACTCGAGTTTCACTACCCGATAGGAAAGAATAAAGATAAGGATGTTGCAGTACTTCTGTGGTCTATGAAACAGAACATTAAAATTCTACAGTTTAGCAGAGCATTTTACTGTACTTATGATACACGTTGTTTTTAATCAGGGTCTGTGATATTAAGTCTATAAAAAACTACAAATAATGACAGATTCATATTCAATCTTTCATGACAGCAAAAATAGTGATTTCGACAACACTGTACATAATGTACGTTCATTTAGGAAATTCATGCAAAGGTTCCACAAATAATGAAATTGTAGGTCAATCAAAAATTAATCCTTTAAATCCGTTTTCCACGAGACAAAATTCTACTGGCTACATATTTTTTTTATATAAAAAAGTTGCTTTCTGATTTCTTTTTTTGACATGTTAAATGACTATTTTTGATCCTGATTGAATACTATAGTAGAATGTAGGACAGTAAGTCATAGGACAAAAAGTCACGGACGAAAAGTCACAATTCAGTTTTGAGATTATTTTTCTCTGAACAAGAAAACACTAATTTTAAAAATAATTTTTTGATTTTTTATTGAACTATAATATATGAAGCAACTTTGTAATTAAAATTTATTCAATAAATATCAATGATGATCAAATAATTGTTATGATAACAAAATGTCAAAGTGGTTTGGCACTTAAATGGCTTCATGGTGCCAAGAAATATATTACCTGCATGATTAAAATTTAATAATTTTTCATTTATCAAGGCTTATGAACAATTTCCTGAACTTAAAAATGAATAAATGTAAAAAAAGATATTATTTGAAGATCTTTCTCTTATATATTCAAACAATTGTCAATAAATTATTTGTGACTTTTTGTCCTATCCAATTTGTGACTTTATGTCCTGTGACTTTTTGTACTGTGACTTTCTGTCCGTTTACCCTATTCATAGTATAGCCCAGTGTTTCTGTTAAAATAAAGTTCTGGTCATGGTTAAAATAATGTCAGAATTTGTTTAGTTGTAAAAACAATTACCAAGTAATAATCCACTTAGAACTTCACCTCCGGCAAAATTCAGGTGATCGGAGGGCAATAAATTGCGTAATCGCACACCTGTGAATCCACAGTCACAACTCTAAGGAAATAATGGCCGGAAAATCATAATTTCACTGTGTAATTTAGAAGCAAACTTTAGCAAAGAAATGTTTCTTGTAATATCATGATCATTACCAGATTTTACTTTTTAAATTGAAAGAAATGCCGAAAAAAAGAAAAAAATATTTTCTCAATCAAATACATTAAAAAAAATACAACTATTTCAAGTAGTTTTTTAGAAAAAGAATTTATTTGATCTGAAATAAGTTTTCCTATTACTTTTCTTGATAAGCTATCGAGGTTATTCATCCCTGACTTGTCTATATGTTGTAGAATAATTATCGACGAGAATCTCATTCCGGGCCGCGTTTTTTAACGGGATTTCACGGAGTTGCCAATCTCTGTGTATATATGTCTCTGATATAACATATGCATATTTATGTAATAGGCTTTATCGATGCTGTAACATACAATATGTTTAACTAAATGATTTTTTAATATTAATAAATAGGGAATAAATTCCACAACGGCTTGCCATAGATCCTATTTATATGGCAAGCCGTTGTGGAATTTATTCCCTATTTATTAATATTAAAAAATCATTTATTAACATTAAATATTATTTTTTAATATTAATAAATCGATTTTTTAATATTAATAAATATTTTTTAATATTAATAAATAGGTAATTTTTAATATTAATAAATGGGTTTTATTTATTAATATTAAATATTCAATTTTTTAAAATTAAATATTCGATTTACTAATATTAAAAAATAATTTGTAATATTAAAAAATAGATCTTTATGGCAAGCCGTTGTGGAATTTATTCCCTATTTATTAATATTAAAAAATCATTTATTAATATTAAATATTATTTTTTAATATTAATAAATCGATTTTTTAATATTAATAAATATTTTTTAATATTAATAAATATTTTTTAATATTAATAAATAGGTAATTTTTAATATTAATAAATGGGTTTTATTTATTAATATTAAATATTCAATTTTTAATATTAAATATTCGATTTATTAATATTAAAAAATAATTTGTAATATTAAAAAATAGATCCTATTTATTAATATTAAAAAATCATTTTTTAATATTAATAAATCATTTTTTAATATTAAAAATTCATTTTCTAATATTAATAAATGGTCTTATTTTTTAATATTAAAAAATGAATATTTAATATTAAATATTCAGCTTGATTTTTTAATATTAAAAAATCATTTTCTAATATTAATAAATACGCCACCTATATATAAGAGTTGTTTGAGCGCTTTTATATACGATGACCATACGTTACTGCAAGCATGTAGCTGAACTAGATCAGTGGAAAATATGAATAACAAAAATATCTACGAAACACCGGCTTTTATCCTGCTATCAACAAATTGTTGCATAAATAACAAGTTCAAAAATAAAGTTTTGTTTATTTTTACTTGTACAAATAAAGCCTCTTGTACTCCACCTCCATATTGAGCAAACGGTAATGAGAATATTTCTGTTTCTGCCGTGACAGTTCAATTTCGATCAACTTCGCGGTCAGCGGTTAAAACTATGTAGATATCTTTAAAAAATGTAAAAATTCAGACTTGGATTTAAAAACTAACCATTAGAGCGTCAGTTATAAATTGTAGGATATAAACAATAAATGTACATTGTCGGAAATACTAAATGTATGTGTACTCGCCGGTACGTCTAAACACTGCTAAGGAGTCCTTAGTGCACTAAGGACGTATACTATGCCACTAAGGACTAGATGGGGTGCTGTTACATGTATTATTTTTCCATATTAAGTTAGAGATTGATATTTAATGCATAAATTAAAAATATTATAGAAAAATAATCACAAATAAACGAGTTATTAAGCATTGTTTAAGCACTTGCCCATTTTTCTTTGATATGCCGAAAATCAGTGAACCGATTGACACGTGCCATATAACATAACAACTGAATGAACAATCATAATCTTTTTATTTTAAGTAATTAACAATTGTATCGAAAAGATTAATGCTTAATAATTTATAATTAAATATGTTGTTCTTATTTGCAATGATTAAAAGGACAAATAATTTTATTTATTTTTTTTTTCTTTCTCGACAAAGTTATATTTGCCATTTGTGCACGACTTAATTCCGACAATGTGATGTGAAAATATGCTTTTTCATGATGTGAAAATAATCATTTTTTGTAATACAAGATAATTTGAATACTTTATACCTAAATCTATCACGTGTAAAAATGAAAAAAAAAACAAGGATTTGTATAGTATATTACTATACAAATCCTTGAAAAAACCAACAGAAATATTTTCAAATATAATTTCTTTAAATCTATTTTTTCTTTAAGAAGAACAAGTATGTCAGAATATTTCTTTATTCTCACAAACCAAATTACAAAGGTATAGAGATAATTATACATATTTCAATACAATTACATAAATAAATAATGTACGAAAGTAGATAGAGGCATTCACAATTCTTCACCCAGAAAAGTGCAATTTGTTATTGATCTCCTTAATAAGTTTACATAGTTCGTTCAGTTCTGTACGTTTTTTAGAATTCATTAAGTCATAAAACTTCAATGTGTTTGGTCTATTTCTATAGTAAAATGCAATACATTGTTTTCTACAATTATCAAAAGCTGAACAATTAAAAATGTAATCGTATTCATCACCAATGGCATCTGAATTACACAATACACATTTTCTGTTTTCTCTTTCTATGTTTTGCCATCTTCCAGTTTCTATTGGAAATTTCATGTTCAAAGTTCGAAATTTAAGAAATAAGGATATCTGCCTGTCATCCAAAATATTTAAATATTTCTCAAACTCCAAAGTATCTTTAAATAAACGATAA